TGGAATGTTAATGTAAACACAACTTTGTATGGAATGTGTATAATGTTTTTATCTATTGAGATTGGATTGTCTCACACCTTTATGAAATCCACAAAGTATTATTAAACTTTAGCGTAAACAATCTATAAAAATGAAGAAACTAAAAACACGCTAATTTTTAATTTTTATCTGATCCTCACGGACCCCCTTAAGAACACCTGGTATAGTGCCTGTCCTTTAGGGTTTGTTGTTCAATGGATAAGGACCGATGTTTGTTTTGGTGATATATTTGAGTTATTGCTTTTATTGTTATTATAATTATTATTGTTGTTATTATCATTGTTATTATTATCATTATTATTATTGTTATTGTTATTTTTTCATCATTCTCATTATCATCACCATTATTATTATTATCATCATTATTGTCATTATTAGTATTATTAGTGTTGTTTTTACTGATGTTGCTATCATCATCGTTTATTACTATTGTTGTTGTTACTTTACTATTTATGTTATTATGATTATTATTACCACTATTATAAATTTTATTATCATAATATCATCACCATCATATCATCATTCATTACATCATTATCATCACCACCACCACCCATACCATCACCACCATCATCATCATCACTACCACCATCATCATCATCATAATCATTACCATCATCATCATTCATTCACCATCACCACCATCATCATCATATCATCACATCACCTTCACCACCACCATCATCATCATCATCATATAATCAGTGTCCTTTGCAGCTCTCACGTGGGTGCCAACTGGCTTGTCGCTCCGGGTTACCATCTGGCTTTGGCTTACCGCCGTCCTGGTCGTGATGCGCAGTTACAGGTGGGGGTTTTGAAGTCTTTCTCGTACTTTGCTTTCGTAGGAGCCATGTGCCAAATTTTGGTGGGAGTGGCTTGTTAAATATTGGCGACAGACACGGGTTATTATTTTTTTTGCATTAGTACCATGGTGGGAGGGTTAAGCTTTGGCACTAGTTTCATGGTTAATATTGGTGGGAGGATTTTGGCATTAATACCTTGGTTTATATTGGTGGGAGGGGTAAATTTTGGCACTAGTTCCACGGTTGATATTGGTGGGAGGGTTAAATTTTGGCACTAGTCCATGGTTCATATTGGTGTGAGTCATATTTTACCAGTAGTTCCGTCAGTTTTAGTAGGGGGGTGAGGGGGGGGGATGGCATGCTAAATAGTATTGAGGTTTCCGGGTTAAATTGTGGTAGTTGTACCATGGCCAGTGTTGATGGGTGTTACGGTGTTGAGCTACGTGTTCAGTTAAGTGCTTAGGTTTTTTCGCTTCTGCTTGTCCTTACAGCGGTGCTTTGACTTCCCTGTTGGCTGTGAGGACGGTGCCCATCAAGTACGACTCCCTGGATGATGTGCTGAGGGATTCTAGCATCAAATTGCTCCTGGAGGGATCCACTGCTCTTACCGGCCACCTGCAGGTCCTTGTTTACTATGTGAAGGAGGTCTCTCTCTCTCTCTCTCTCTTTCTTTCTTGCTTTACTTTTTTTCTTCCTCTCTCTCTCTTATTCCTCTTATTCTCGCTCCCTCTCACTCTCCTCTCTCACTCTTTCTCTTATTCTCTCTCTATCGTTACCCTCTCTCCTCTCTGTATCTAACTAGCTAGTCTCTCTCTCTCTCTCTCTCTCTCTCTCTCCCTCTCTCTCTCTCTCTCTCTCTCTCTCTCTCTCTCTCTCTCTCTCTCTCTCTCTCTCTCTCTCTCTCTCTCTCTCTCTCTCTCTCTCTCTCTCTCTCTCGTCTTATCTCTCTGTCTTCTCTCTTTCTTTCTTTCTTTCTCTTTACTTTCCCCTTCCCCTCTCTTCCTCTCACCCTCCTTCCCTTCTCTCTCTTCCTTCTTTACCTCATTTATATCAACCTTCCCTTTAATGAAGATAACCATGATTCAGCCAATAGACCCCATTTTCCACCAGCCTCCGTATCCCTCCTTCTATATCCCGCAGACGGCGAAGGAGGGTGTTTACGGACAGCTCGCCGATGCCGTTCGGACGCGTGGCAGGACGATCCGAGCGAGCAGGATGCAGGAGGAAGCCTACGCCCACATCCCCGACGGCCGCCACGCCATGTTTCTGGAGGCTGTGGGCTGCAATAAAGTGTACTCGGACCACTTCAGCAGGACAGGTAAGGCGAGAAAGTCCTTTGCACGGTTTCGGACAGTTGGTGGAGTGAGGTTAGGTTAGGTTAGGTTACAGGTTTCTGTAGTGTGTAGTGTGTGTACAGGGTTTGTGTAGTGTGTAGTGTGTGTAGTGTTAGTGTAGAGTGAGGTTAGGTTAGGTTGAACACAGGGCTTGTGTAGTGTGTAGTGTGTGTAGTGTTAGTGTAGAGTGAGGTTAGGTTAGGTTGAATACAGGGTTTGTGTAGTGTTGTGTGTGTAGTGTTAGTGTAGAGTGAGGTTAGGTTAGGTTGAACACAGGGCTTTGTAGTGTGTAGTGTGTAGTGTTTGTATAGAGTGAGGTTAGGTTAGGTTGAACACAGGGTTTGTGTAGTGTGTTGTGTGTGTAGTGTTAGTGTAGAGTGAGGTTAGGTTAGGTTGAATACAGGGTTTGTGTAGTGCGTTGTGTGTGTGTAGTGTTAGTGTAGAGTGAGGTTAGGTTAGGTTGAACACAGGGCTTTGTGTAGTGTGTTGTGTGTGTAGTGTTTGTATAGAGTGAGGTTAGGTTAGGTTGAACACAGGGTTTGTGGTGTAGTGTGTAGTGTGAGTAGTGTTAGTGTAGAGTGAGGTTAGGTTAGGTTGAACACAGAGCTTGTGTAGTGTGTTGTGTGTGTAGTGGTTTGTAGAGTGAGGTTAGGTTAGGTTGAATACAGGGTTTGTGTAGTGTGTAGTGTTAGTGTAGAGTGAGGTTAGGTTAGGTTGAATACAGGGTTTGTGTAGTGCGTTGTGTGTGTAGTGTTAGTGTAGAGTGAGGTTAGGTTAGGTTGAACACAGGGTTTGTTTAGTGTGTAGTGTGTGTAGTGTTAGTGTCGTGTGGTTTACCGTGCGGAAATGTTGTTGCAGGGCAGTGTGACTTCTACATGTCGCGAGGAGTGTTCTGGCCTCTCTTCTACGCTCTTGTTGTGCCCAAGGATAGTCCTCTCCGGGAACTCATCGACGCTAGGTAGGCCTATGGATGCGAAATTGCTCCACATGATGTAAATAGCGTGCGAAAGCATTTGTTCGCATTTTTTTTTCTTTTTTACCTCTTTGTGCCTTTTTTTGTAATGCTCGAAGGGAAAGTAATATGTTATGGAATACAGAAAATACTATGGGTAAAATTGTGTTCTTGAAATAAACTCATTCTGTTTAGTGTTAGTTTTCCTGTTATTTTGGAAGCATGGTAGAGTGTCAGTCAGTTTAATTTTACTCAGTCCATTCTCCAGTAAGAATGAAATGGCTGCTCACCCTGGATGCAAGAGAAATCCGATTCGCCGAGTATCATTTGAGGAAAAAAATGAATAAAGATGGCGTTGAAGGCAGTAAATATTCAAGAAAGTATGACAGAACTATCATGCATAATATGTCAATACAAGTAATAGCAATCATCAGCCGACTAGATTAATAAAGACATGGAATCTAGGGTTTCTTGTTTGGGGGAATTTTACATCCAAGGATTCCAGGAAAAAAAACATTTCCCGGGATCCAGGAATTTCCCTTAGCAGATAGCACCTATTAATATTGGTATCACACCGTCACGTGCTCCTGTCTGTTATAAATGAACCTCAGTATTACCTACATAGTTACTTACCCCATGGAAGTGTGAAAAAAAGGTGTTTTTAAATATGGAATTTCCTTATACGGCTACAAAATATGAATAAGTCATCCAGTACCACATCCGCATGGGAGCTTGGCCACTCGCAGTGTTCCCAACCCAGCCACCATGCTCCACAATATTAAAATTACACTGAAAATGAACCTATGGAATACCTGTACACTATTATTGTGCATATATTCAATAACATACGTAAAATAATTTAGAAATCATATTCCGCAAAAAGCTAATCAAAACTGAAAATTCTGAAATTGCCTAAAATAAAACTGTGAGAGTAAAGTAATCTGGTATTTTGCCATTGTATTCAAGCTGAAGAAAACAATGCAAATTCTGCAATCCACATACAGAAAAATATGAGTAGAATATTTAGAATATGGCCCAACTTTCCAGACATAGTAATAAAAAGTGAAATGGGACATTCAAATACTAGAGTCTGGAATGGCCTCTAAAAACTTTAAAAAAATCTCAAACAGTTCCAAAGTCATACACACGAAGTTATTCACGCAATATCTTTTCAAAAAACACAAAGTCAATACTACGATCACTGGGCTTTGATCTCAGTTTAGTAATGAATAAGCTAACAGCTGGAAAAAGCTCTTTCAGCTGCAACTGATGCTGGTGGTACAGAGTGGAGAGCCTAAAACAATTTCTCTAAATTCTGTATTCTGTTCCCAGTTGCCACATACACTAAATTCCTTCCGATTATGTATTTTCCATCTATCTATATATATGTGTCTGTGTGTGTATGTATGCGTTTCATATTTTTATGTATATAGATAGATAGATAGGTCGATGTAAATATAGATATTTGTGTGTGTGTGTGTGTATCCATGTATATATGCATACATACACACGCACACCACACACACAACACACACACACACACACGACCACACACACACGACCACACACACACGACCACCACACACACACACACACACACACACACACACACACACACACACAACACAACACACACACACACACAACACACACACACACACACACACATATAATATATATATATATATATATATATATATATATATATATATAATATATAATGTATATACATATTTACTATCTATAACCATACTGACAGGATCTTAGCTCTACGGGAATTTGGCATTTACGAGCGCTGGGCACTGGATCAGGTGGCCAACAGGACTCACTGTCTCAAGCTTCCCACAAAACTCAAACTTCAGGAACCTTACA